CGAGCAGGACCAAGCCCAGGGTCGCCCTTCCGTATCCTACGACGACTTTGTTGGTGGCGGAGGAGCTGGAGGAGCTGGACACAATGCGCAACAACCTTCGACATTGAGACCGCAAGCTGCGGGCCCCTCGTCCCCCGGCGTCGGTGGCGGCGCTGCTTCCGGCACTCCCTATATGCAGAGACATTACAGCCAAACCTCAGAATTGAACAACTATCAGCGATACGCCGACGACTTCGACGACTATCCGACCGAACACGATTCTTACTACCAACAAGGAGGAGCTACCACGAGCCAGAACAATGTTGCGGATCCCTCCGGCAGGGCCAACGCCCGGAACCGTAACAGCGTTCTCAGCCTGGGCGGTGGCTTCTTTGGCCGCATGAAGAATAGACTGGGCATGGGCCAAGGGTACTCGGAGATGGATCTTCCTTTAACAGAGGCTGGCCAGGGACGAGCTGCCGGCGCGGATCAACAGGCCAAGCAGGGCAAGAAGTTCGACATGGGCAACTTCAAGTTTGGCTTCGGTCGCAGCAAGCCAGACCCCTCGACTCTGGGACCCAGAATCATCCACCTCAACAACCCGCCTGCGAACGCCGCGAACAAGTATGTCGACAACCACATCTCGACGGCGAAATACAATGTCGCAAGCTTCCTCCCCAAGTTCCTCTTCGAGCAGTTCTCCAAGTTCGCCAACATTTTCTTCCTGTTCACGGCTGCGCTGCAGCAGATCCCCAACCTCTCGCCTACCAACCGATACACGACGATTATCCCTCTCTTCATTGTTATGCTGGTCTCTGCGGGCAAGGAATTGGTGGAGGACTACCGTCGCAAACAGGCTGACAACGCGCTGAACACGTCCAAGGCGCGCATTTTGCGCGGTACCGGCTTCCAGGAGACCAAGTGGATCAACGTTTCAGTGGGAGATATCATCCGTGTAGAATCCGAGGAGCCGTTCCCCGCCGATCTTGTTCTCCTTGCGAGTTCCGAACCGGAGGGCTTGTGTTATATCGAAACAGCCAACCTTGACGGAGAGACCAACCTGAAGATCAAGCAAGCTCTCCCGGAGACGTGTGCCATGGTCAGCTCCAGCGAGCTGAGCAGGCTTGGCGGCCGCATCAAGTCTGAGCAGCCCAACAGCAGCTTGTACACATATGAGGCCACTTTGACGATGCAGGCTGGCGGCGGAGAGAAAGAGCTGCCTTTGAACCCCGAGCAGCTCCTCCTTCGTGGTGCCACTCTGCGCAACACCCCCTGGATTCACGGTGTCGTTGTCTTCACTGGCCACGAGACAAAGCTCATGCGCAACGCCACGGCAGCACCCATCAAGCGCACAAAGGTAGAGAAGAAGCTGAACATCTTGGTCCTGGTCCTGGTCGGCATCCTCCTCGTCCTCAGTGTTATTTGCACAGTGGGCGATCTCGTCCAGCGCAAGGTTGAGGGACAGGCCCTTTCCTACCTGCAGCTCGACTCCACAGGTTCCGCGAGCGACATCATCAAGACCTTCTTTAAGGACATGGTCACATACTGGGTTTTGTTCTCCTCTCTGGTGCCCATCTCGCTTTTCGTCACTCTAGAGATGGTCAAGTACTGGCACGGCATTCTTATCAATGACGACCTGGATATCTACTACGACAAGACGGACACCCCGGCAAACTGCAGAACATCCAGCTTGGTGGAGGAACTTGGCATGGTCGAGTATGTCTTCTCCGACAAGACTGGTACCCTTACGTGCAACATGATGGAGTTCAAGCAGGCCTCAATCGGCGGAATCCAGTACGCAGAGGATGTGCCGGAAGACCTCAGGGCTACGATCCAGGATGGTGTTGAGGTTGGCATCCACGACTACAAGCGATTGGCCGAGAACCTCAAGAGCCACGAGACCGCCCCCGTCATTGACCACTTTCTGTCTCTGCTGGCTACCTGCCACACGGTTATTCCCGAGCGAAGCGACGAAAAGGGCGGCAAGATCAAGTATCAGGCAGCTTCTCCCGATGAGGGCGCCCTGGTTGAGGGCGCGGCAGAGCTCGGCTACGTATTCACGGATCGCAAGCCGAGGTCAGTCTTCATTGAAGCGCATGGACGGGAAATGGAATACGAGCTGTTGGCGGTCTGTGAATTCAACTCAACCCGAAAGCGCATGTCGACGATTTACCGGTGCCCCGATGGAAAGATTCGCGTTTACTGCAAGGGAGCCGACACTGTCATTCTGGAGCGTCTCAACGACCAGAACCCGCATGTTGAAGCCACCCTCCGTCACCTGGAAGAATACGCCTCCGAGGGTCTGAGAACGCTCTGCTTGGCCATGCGCGAGGTTCCCGAGCAGGAATTCCAGGAATGGTACCAAATCTACGACAAGGCATCCACCACGGTTGGTGGTAATCGTGCCGACGAGCTGGACAAGGCCTCCGAGCTCATTGAGAAGGACTTTTATCTCCTGGGTGCGACCGCTATTGAAGATCGTCTCCAAGATGGTGTCCCTGAGACTATCCACACGCTCCAGCAGGCCAACATCAAGGTGTGGGTTCTCACTGGTGATCGTCAGGAAACCGCCATCAACATTGGCATGAGTTGCAAGCTCCTTAGCGAGGATATGATGCTTCTCATTGTCAACGAGGAAAGCGCCGCCGCGACCCGAGACAACCTGCAGAAGAAGATTGACGCCATTCGAACCCAAGGCGACGGAACGATCGAAACGGAGACCCTAGCGCTCATTATCGACGGCAAGTCGCTTACTTTCGCTCTGGAGAAGGACATGGAAAAGCTCTTCCTCGACCTCGCTGTCATGTGCAAAGCAGTCATTTGCTGCCGAGTCTCTCCCTTGCAGAAAGCCCTGGTTGTCAAGCTGGTCAAGAAATACCAAAAGGAGTCCATCCTGCTCGCCATTGGTGATGGTGCCAACGACGTCTCCATGATTCAGGCCGCTCACATCGGTGTCGGTATCAGTGGTATGGAAGGTCTTCAGGCCGCCCGAAGTGCCGACGTGTCCATTGGACAGTTCCGCTACCTCAGAAAGCTCCTGTTGGTTCACGGTGCCTGGAGTTACCAGCGTGTTGCCAAGACAATTTTGTTTTCATTTTACAAGAACATCACCCTCTACATGACCCAGTTCTGGGTTAGTCTCCCCCAACTCCCGCCTGACTGCATGCTTGCTAACATCCACAGTACACGTTCCAAAACGTATTCTCTGGCGCGGTCATTTACGAGTCTTGGACGCTGTCATTCTACAACGTTTTCTACACCGTCTTGCCCCCCCTGGCCCTGGGTATCCTTGACCAGTTCATCTCGGCTAGACTTCTTGACCGCTACCCCCAGCTGTACACCATGGGCCAGCAGAACCAGTTCTTCAAGATCAAGATCTTTGCCGAATGGGTCGCCAATGCCATCTACCACTCCATCATCCTCTACGTGTTTGGCGAGCTCATCTGGTACGGTGACCTCATCCAGGGCGACGGACAAATTGCCGGTCACTGGGTCTGGGGTACTGCACTTTATGCCGCCGTTCTTCTCACCGTCCTGGGCAAGGCCGCTCTGATTACGAACAACTGGACCAAGTACCATGTCATTGCCATCCCCGGCAGCATGCTCTTCTGGTGGGGCTTCATCGCTCTCTACGGTACGGTCGCGCCCATGATCCCATTCTCGGCCGAGTACCACGGTGTCATCCCCAAGCTGTACAGCAGCCCCGTCTTCTGGCTGCAGACCATCTCACTGGCCATAATGTGCCTCTTGAGAGATTTTGCCTGGAAGTTTGCGAAGCGCATGTACATGCCGCAGACCTACCACCACATCCAGGAGATTCAAAAGTACAACATTCAAGATTACAGACCAAGGTATGTGGCATTCCTTCCCGTTATTTGATCTGAGAACTAACATTTATCCAGAATGGAGCAATTCCAAAAAGCTATCCGCAAGGTGCGCCAAGTACAGCGCATGCGCAAGCAGCGTGGCTACGCCTTCTCGCAGGCAGACGAGAGCCAAACGAGAGTTCTGCAAGCCTACGATACAACGCAGCAGCGTGGACGGTACGGCGAGATGACCAGCTCGAGGCCTCAAGGGAGGTAACCTCGCACTGTCAGCGCTGCCACCATCGCCCCTCGGAAGGGCGGCGCCGCGAAAACATAAAAAAAAGAAGCCTATGATGATCACGATGAAAGGGGCCGGCTGCGTTTTTTACTTATTATTATTACTGGTGTATTCCCAAACGAATGGTAATGCAAAGGCAGCGACGACAGCACGATGTAAACTTTTGTTGGTTTATTTTTTCTTCACATCCCTTCTCGCTTCCTATTCTTATATGCATGGTCGGGATCTCCCTCATCAGAATGAGCAGAGGTCCCAATGGGCTGGCGTTTTCGCTTTATTTTCTTTCAAAAACAAAACTTGATTACCCGCTTCCCTCGGGCTGTCTGTGTTCCGACACGTGTGGTTTGTGCAAACACACATGTATGGTACACGGGCAAGTCGGCACACAAGCACCCACACCAAAGCACCGGAAGAAAGGCTACAGGGCGAAGGAATACACGTGGGAATGACGAAAGGACAAGAAAACGGATTAGGCAATGGAAACTCATGTCAAGATGCGGCAGGTCCGAGGAGAGGAAAGGATTTGTTTTCTGGTTTGACGCGGAAGGGCTGTGTGCACGAGGAGACAGGGAGGTGATGATAGTGTTGTTAGTAGAGGATTGACGAATCGAGAGCATCCGATTCGCGTACGTTGGTTCTTTTTTCCAGGGACGGCGGGCGTTTTTGGTTCTCGGACCACAATGAATAGAACCAGTATCCTCCTTATTCATCAGTTCAAAATCGTTGAGATCCGTATTGCGAGAATGTTTGTATGAAAGAATGCATTCAAAGATATGGAGTGGTAGGGGTAGGTCTAGTTCATGATTGATTGTATTGATACCTAAAAGTCGTACTCTATGCCTCATTCTCAACGTGGACGGGCGTAAACTATACACAAGAAGACAGATTTATCCCCCGCTGACAGCAACGGGCAAACCTTAGTCCATCGCGAAACGGTCGGTGAACCTGAACGTCGCCAGTCCCGCCTTGAAGTCCTCGACGAGGGCACTCACACCGTCGGCCGAGTAGACGCCGTCGCCGTCCTCCACGCCGAGCGAGGGAGACTTGCTCAGCGCCGTATTGAGACCGCCGACGGGCTTGCCCCACCTGTAGGAGTCAATGACGAGCTGCGCGGGGCGGCCGGCCGGGTAGAGGGGCGACTTGTTGGTGCCGTTGAACAGGCTCTCGGCGCCGCTGGCGACGACGACGCCGTCGAAGGAGGTCGCGTCGGCCTGAGCGTACGTCATGTCCACGCCGTCGGCGAGCTTCTCGGCGATGACGGTGACGAGGACGCCGTCGGCCGCGAAGGCGTCCTTGAGCTGCGCGCCCTGGGCCACGGAGCCGTTGACGGCCTGGCTGGCGAGCACGCCGACCTTGAGCGTGGCGATGGTAGGCAACTTCGAGCCGAAGATGGAGAGGCCCTGGGTGGTGTTGTCGTGGTAGTACTTGGGATCGGGCTGGAGGTGGGCCATGCCGAGGGCGTCGGCGACGCGGTTGGCGATGTCGTTGGAGATCTTGTTGAGCTGGGTGAGTACGTTCTGCTTGACGGTGTCGGACTCGAGGTGGCTTGTTTCAAAGCGGATGGCATTGACGAGGAACTGCTGCTCGGCGGGCGTGAGGGAGTTGTAGAAGAGGCGCGGCTGAGACCAGTGGTCGTCGAAGGTGTCGGAGACCTCGCGGACGAGGTGGCCGGTGACGGTGCGTCCCGGGGCCGTGAAGAAACCCCGTCCTTGGGTCTGGTTCGCCTGCGCGGGGAAGCCCTTGTTCAAGGTGTTGGGCGTGTCTACGCTTGAGTCAGCAACAAGTCATCTCATCCGGACAAGGTCATAACTCACATGGGTACTTGTTGCGGTGGATGAAGTTCTGGCCCGCGCCGTCCCGGTTGTTGTTGTGAATAGGCGTTACTGGACGGTTGATGGGCAGCTGCTCAAAGTTGGGGCCGCCGTGGCGGTTGATCTGGGTGTCCAGGTACGAGAAGATGCGACCTTGGAGCAGGGGGTCATCGGTGAAGTCGACGCCTCTGACGATGTGGCCGGGTTGGAACTGCCGCTGGTTAGTTGGTGGTCAGGGGTGGCTGGGATAGAGACATACCATGATCTGCTCTGTCTCTGCAAAGTAGTTGACCGGGTTGGCGTCCAGCTTCATCTTGCCGAGTCTCTGGAGAGGGGCAATCTCCTCCGGGACGATCTTGGTAGGGTCCAGGAGGTCGAAGCCGTACTTGAGGGTATCCTCCTCGTCGAGCACCTGGACGCAGAGCTCCCACTCGGGGCCATTGCCGGACTCGATGGCGTCCCAGAGGTCTTGGCGGTGGTAGTCGGCGTTCTTGCCCGAGACAATTTGGGCTTCTTCCCAGACCAAGCTCGCCTTGCCCTGGAGAGTCTTCCAGTGCCACTTGACGAGCTTCGAAGTGCCGTCCTCTTTGACGAGGCGGAAGGTGTGCACGCCGTGGCCGTCCTGAGACTGCTGTTAGCCATGTCCTTGAACTCCGAGACAATCATACTCACCATGTGACGATAGCTTCTGGGAATGCCGTATCCGGCCATAGCCCAGAACAGGGTGTGCAGAGTGCTGGTCTGAGAGCTGAAGAAGTCCCATGCCGAATCATGGGCGGTAGCCGCCTGGGGGATCTCGTTATCGGGGCTAGGCTTGACGGAATGGATCAAGTCGGGGAACTATGAATCGTCAGATCAGTGCCTTTGGTGCCTTTCTCGACCGGCACTCACCTGGATCGCATCCTGAATGAAGAACACGGGAATGTTGTTTCCCACAATATCAAAGTTGCCCTCGTCCGTGAAGCTATTCCGTTAGCGCATGAAGTTCACCAGATGTTGGCCGGTACATACAATCTCGTGGCAAAACCATGGACGTCTCTTGCTGTATCGGCACTTCCTCTGGATCCAGCGACTGTAGAGAACCGCACGAATGTCGGCGTCTCCTTGCCATTCTCACTGAGAAATGACGCCGCGGTCAGGTTGGAGTAGTCGCCATAGCTGGTGAATGTTCCATAGGCACCGGCGCCTCTGGCATGTACCGCTCGCTCAGGGACCTGTGGGCGCATTGGTTAGCCATGAAAGCGAACGACAGCCCACTAGATGCTTACTCTCTCGTGGTCAAAGTGAGTAATCTTCTGGCGAAAGATAAAGTCCTCTAGCAAGGTCGGGCCGCGGACGCCGGCTTTCAGACTGGTTTGATCTTCGATTGGGCCGCCAACGTCGGAAGTCAGGTAGCCCTCGCTATCGTCGACTTCGTAGCTCGCAACGTGATCGCGCGAGCCATCATCGTCGGAGCGCGCCTTGATGTTTGCCGGATCTGCAAAGGGGCAGCCGGCGGAGGAGAGGGTGGCCAGGCCGAGACCGGCCAGCAGCAGGGTGGTATGCATATTGGGTGTGTGCCAAGTGCTGACTGTGACAAGTAGCTCGTCTGCTGGATATCGGAACCAGCTTCAGACCACTGAACGTTTCCAATGTCTTATGCGGAAAGGATTGGTACTTTTCCAAGACTGTCGACCAGAACGAGAAAACAATGGAGGGGCGGCAGGCTACTTATGAACCCCAGAGGCTCGGATTGACAAGCGGAGCTCTATACAAGCTAAAGACGACTAGGGAAAAAGCATGATGAACTCAATGCGAGGGTAGATCGGTAAGAGAATGACACTTGTCAGAGCACAAGCCCAAGAATTGTGCCGGTATTGCTAATCATGAGCTTGTGGAGGAGGTCTTCACCGGCCCGGCAAAGGCACTAAGGCAGGAAGGCAGCTTTGCCCAGAACAAAAACACATCCACATCCCGGGGCAGGCGAGCACAACAGCGCTGCGTCCTGTGAAGGAGGCACGGCCAGGACTGAGGAATGACAGCATCATAATCACACCAGGCAAGGAGCCCCCCACAAAAAGGGGGGCGCCTAAGGAGGAAAGAGAGGGTGACAGATGTTGTGAGATTGGAAAACGAGTTATTGTGATTCATCGCAGAAGCGCCCACAGCCCGGACTTCTGATGTTGTGTGCTCATGGCATGCCTTGGCCGCAGTTTGTGTGCCTCACGGGCAAGGCAGGCAAAACATTGACGGTACTACCGTCTATGGCCCATGGATCCAGCCTACGCTCGATATAAGGTTACATCTAGACAACGTGGGCTATTGGAGGGGCTAGAGCTCGGTCCGGGCTGTCTAGTGCTGGCGTGAGAACGGCGATGGAGCGTGGTTGGAAGGAGGGTGGAGGGGACGCCGTTGCGGCAGTTGTGAAGGCTAGGAGGGCGGCGGCGGTGCTTGGCCTTACTTAGATTAGTGCCAGCTAGGAACAGAACATGCGGCTGCGGGAGATCGAAGCCCAGCACCGGACGATGCCATCATCCCAAGTCTGTGCGAGTCTGTGTGCTTCCAGGAGGGCTGGTACCTGGGTCTTGGCCCAGCACCCGTGTACAAGGGAAAACGCAAAACACAGAAGCGACCGCGTCGTCTCGTGGTGATTTTTGTGCGACATTGAAGGGGGAAGCGGCTCAGGCGATGGACCGATGGCCGCCGAGCAAGGCACCGGCCGCCGTGTGCGTAATGTTGGGATGGCAATGGGAGTGAAGAACGGTCGTGGAGACAACCGTCTGTCCGCCATGTCTAGTCTATGACGAAGAATGGGGAAGCAAGAAGTCGAGTTGAGATGGGATTGGGAGCTAGTCAACCTGGCCTACAGGAGGGCCGTTGAGAGATGAAATGGTCCCGGGGACCCTCGTCGACCAGCACCTGTAGCGTTCTCTAGACATGCTCAGATATGATGGAAAGGGCCGGGTACTTTTGCCAAGTCCCAATGCTGCAAAGCAAATAGAGAGGCGGGCGAATGAGACAGGAGACCAAATCCGCATGCAGCTTCAAATCCCGGCGCTGGGTTGGAAAAGGAAAAGAGCTCGCTGCATGAGGTTGAGGTTGAGGTTGACAAGGCCGAACCGCCATCGTCATCGTGCGGGCCCTCTGGTGGGGCCGTTCCTCGCTGATCACCCGGGGGGATATTGTGCTGCGTTGCCCGGGCCTCTGTAATACAAATCACCTCAGTCGAAGCGAGAGACCGGGGTTGTTGCTGCCGCCTTGGGATCGCGTGGACGGGGGTTTCACGGATGGGGGGTTGCAGCGCAGTCCATCCAAAAAGTTTCCGTGTGAGTCCCAGGATTGAGGTTCGTCTGGGTCAGATGAACGGTCGCAGGCGGCAGGCTCATTGCGCCGGGATAATACGCTGAAGTGTACTGGTGGTGATAGAAATGCGGCTTGCTCGCGGCTTATCATGGCCGCGAAATGAGAATGTTCTTCAGGGATTGAGTTGGGATAAAGGGCCCTCGGCAATTTTCGGAGGCGGCATCGAGTGTAGGAAGACTTGAAATGGCTCGAGGAGACTGTTAGAGACGCGAAATTACGATAATGACGCAAGTTAGATGTACTGTCTTTCTAGTGCTCAGTCTCTAGAGGGCTGGCAAAACTACATCTCTTCTTGCGTTCAAAAGACGGGCACATCCAATTACACATATGCCGACTCTTGGTTCTGTCACAGCAGCCGAGAAGCCCTGCAGTTGCCGTCTTGCAAATCTGGGTGATTTGGCAGCTGCCACCCGAAAGCAAATGCAGTGTTCAACGCAAGTCACATATGCGCAAACATCTAAAGGTTAGGATGAGCAGAGGGAAACAAGTCCAAGGAAACGTGCCCTGCAGGGGAGCGCACTGCAACCTCCCGGAGGTCTGTCCGGGACGGAGCCGGGGTTTAGGGGGCAGCCAGGGCACTACGTACCGATGGAGCGCAATTCATCGATCGCACAGAGCTCTTTGCTTCCTTTTCCGCTGACCTGCCCCAGCCAATGATCGTGTCTACATTAGCACAACAGCAAACGGCGGGAGGGATGGCCGTCATTTGACTTCCCGTCATCCCATCTTGCTCCAGCCTCTCAACTGTGCTGCCGCTACCAAGACGTGATATTCCATAAATAAACCCAAGCTTCACGGTATTCACATCTAGCCTTAATTCACACCGCATATGTGCGCCTCTTCCCCTCTCTTATTTATAGACATGTCAGACCATTTAACCAGTGAGCCAAGCTTCAACACGGATGGACAACTACTCTCACCTGCCCAACCGTTATGAATCTTGGCGACTGTCGTCTGCGGGAGTATTGGACGCGCGCCCAGTGTCCCGCAATTGCTTCTTCCGAACAAGACCGTCCATGATCAACCCAGAGTAGCAGGCGGAATGCAAGGCGGAAATCCCGCAAAAGCAACAATCACGGTACAACCTTCCAAAACGAAAAAGAAGGCCATTCGAAACCGGCAAGGCTCATCAGTTAGTCACTTTGGTCTCCCTGGTTCGCATGCCACCCACCGTGGTGGTGAGGTCCCGTCTCGCTTCCCTCTTGCGGGGCCTCCTGGCACCTGGCTCCGACCTCTCTGCCGAGCCGAGGCCGGGGACAATCATCGCTTGCGGGCCCGTTTCCCTTAGCCTGGGTAACCCACCAGGACTCCACGCAAAGTTTGTGGTGATTTGAAATCATGGAGAAGCGTTTGGAAGACTGAGATTACGTGGAGAATTCGTCCGGCATCGGGACGATATAGAGGCTTGCTACCATGCCGGTTGCGCCGGGAAAGACAGCGAGAATCCGAGCCGACCCTCGCAGACAACATGTAGGTATGCAGACCAGTTTCAAGGGTGCAACGGCGTTGTAGAAATCCGGCGTCAGGTGTATTGCTTTCAAACCCCAGCTCAGGGTTCTGCAAAAGCAACGGGAACATGCCTTAACGTGAGATAAACGAGGTCGTTTCTAGATTCGCCTCATCCGTTTTGACTTTGCTGGTCGGGTACAGCCAGCGGCAGAGCATACTCCGGACATATCTCATTTGATCATCTCGGCTCGATTCGATTGAGACATATTTCACACCTCACAACAGTGCCTGACGAAGCACATGCACACACGTACACGATAGTATGGCACAGAAAGAGTGGTCGTATTGGTGGGGGTCTTGCTTGAAGTTCATTGCTTTTGGTGTAAATGAGATCCTAGCTCGATGGCGTCCGCTGGTATCCCGGCCATGGCTAACCCAAATGTTTCCCCCCAAACGCCTTGAAAATCCATGCCCCATTTTTCATCATCCATTTTTTTTGATATCCCGATCCGCTTAGTAGAAGAAGCCGATGACCTTGCCGGCAACGTGCTTGCGGCGGGCCTCCTCGTGGTCCATGATACCAGCGGAGGTGGTGAGGATGACGTAGCCGAACTGACGGGCAGGGAGCAGCTTGACAACCCACTTCTCGAGGTCGGCGAGGCGGACGTTGTAGCGGGGGGAGATGACACCGCACTTGTTGAGGCGGCCGTTCAGCTGAACGACAATCTTGCCGGAGCGGTGGTCGTCGACCTCCTCGAACTCGCCGATGTAGCCTGGGAGATGTATGAGCGATGTGTTGCGGAAGACTAAAACTTTGACATCACGAGGTAAAATCCGAAAAAGGTGTAAGATCTCCGCGTTCAATATATCGGCAACTTATAGGGGCTGGGTCGTGGGAGTGAAAGAGACGGTCGCCCTAGTTATCATGCCGAATGGTACAGGCCCATTGTCCTCCAAGGAAAAAAGAAAAAGAACATGGTAGATGGATTAGGAAGTTGTCGTGACATACCGTGGCGCTGCATGACCTGAAGGAACTTGACGATGACCTTGGAGCTAGGGCGGATGAGGACCTGGCGCTTGCCGGCCTTCTCGGCGTTGTTCATGCTCTTGAGAGCATCGTGGAGAACGGAGGTGCGGACCATTTTGGCGGTTGGTGAATGCGGAGATTCTCAAGTCTTGTGAAATGAGGTATCTGCCAGCAAAGAAGTAAATGTTAGCCTTCCGAGGCCTGTTGAGCGTGGAGAGTGCCCTCCCAGGCAAACGAGCCTTGATCGAGGAGAGGGTTCCGCCAGCTCATTGCTGAAGAGAGGAGCGTATCAGATGTCATCATCGTCGTCGTCGGCATGCTACAGAGGCCTCGAAGAAATCATCGTGTTCTCGTGTGTCGCGCGCGACTCGTCTGATTGCTCCTCTCCGGCATCAAGGAAGAGGCGAGAGTTCCTGCTTTGATCAAGGCGGCATGATGAGCATCTTTGCACGTACCTCGTTGAGTAGTGGTGCCGCTGAAGGTTAGGCAATTGGCGATGGATAGAGATCGGGATGGAGGAGAGCAGCAGAAAAGGGCGAAGCTGTCGGGATCAAACCCAGGCAAAAAAATTCGCCAGTTCGGTTGTGGGTGGTCCGTGCCCGAGGAAAATTGCCCTAAGCGCACGGTTGGGCGACCCCACCGGCCAGCCAATAAGCGATCTCTGGTACTCTGTAATTTTTTCGAGAACTCCTCTCCCGTGGAATCGCACAAGCACCATTTTATTCATAAACTACCCATACACATCACAACACCACTCTTCGAGGATCGCACCGACAGAGACTTGACGCAAAATTCCAAGATGGTGAGTCTCCGCCGACTACCCCCCGCACGAATGCCCCTGCCGCGCATTTTCGCATTGCCCGTCGCGTCTTCAATTGAGAGGTGCCGGGCAATTGGAACTATGCGGCGGGCGGGCGAGGCTGATCGAGATCCTCCCCCCGGGCTTCCTTCATGGGGCTTGCCGCCCCTTCTCCATTGTCGTTGCAGGATCAGACTCGCTGACTGATGGGTTGCGCAATTGTTGTAGTCGGACGTAGAAGAGAACAACGCCCCCGAGGTGGCCGAGGAGGTCGAGGTTTCCGCCGATGCTGGCTCCAAGGGCCAGATGTCCGTTCTGGACGCCCTCAAGGGTGTTCTGAAGCTGGCCCTCATGCACGACGGTCTTGCCCGCGGTCTCCGTGAGGCTTCCAAGGCCCTCGACCGCCGCCAGGCCCACATGTGCGTCCTCAACGAGGCTTGCGAGGAGGAGGCCTACAAGAAGCTCGTCATTGCTCTCTGCTCCGAGCACAAGATCCCCCTGATCAAGGTTCCCGACGGCAAGCAGCTCGGCGAGTGGGCTGGTCTCTGTGAGTTACCCCGCGACGACGGATGCGATGTTGGAGGAGGGCGTGGACTAACAGGGAGACAGGCGTGTTGGACCGTGAGGGTAACGCCCGCAAGGTCGTCAACTGCTCTTGCGTCGTCGTCAAGGACTGGGGTGAAGAGTCCCAGGAGCGCTCCATCCTCCTCAACTACTTCCAGACCGAGCAGTAAATTTGGGTTGGCTTTCATGATTTGAATTTGGGCGTCACGACGGGGGTATAGAGGGGCGACGGGGAAAATCTGGAACCGCCGCAACGAACGAATCTTTCGGTTGTACTCTAGCTTCTTCAGCTGGCATCTCGAAACAAAAAATGGAGGACTCCCTCTGGAGGTCAGGTCATCTTGCATCAGGGCAAACAAAGAGAAACGGCATTGGGCACTCTTGAACCAAATTACTCGCGCACTTTTGGATGCTTTTAGTGATGTGATGCTATCGATGTGGGCCGCTGCCCGGGAATCTACTTCTTTCCCTCTACCTGGACGTAGGTCAGTATGTCTGCAACAACACCTAGAGACGATTGTAATCAGTGTACGAACCATGATGATGTGGTAACCAAACTCCGTCTTCGCCTCCCCAATGACGGGGCTTGACGTTGAGCTTGTCGCTAGAGCGAAAGCGACGTCCTCGAACTTGGGGTCCAAGCTACCCTTCGTCTTCCAACCCAGCGAGCCTCCTATCGAGCGATCAGAGTCATTACCCCTCATGCGGTTGGTGAGTCACCCAGTCGTTCGCTTCTTACCTTGCCTGGCCTTGTCCTCAGAGAACTCCCTCGCAACCTCGTCAAACTTGGCACCGTCCCTGATCTTGGCCATCGCCTCCTCCTTCTTTCCATGCTTCTCGCACTGAACCACGCGTCAGATGAAATCTCCGCAACCCCTCAACTCAAGCCTGCGCTCACCAGAATGTGGCGGACGTTGATGGACTGCGCGCCCTTCGCCTTGCCGCCCTTGTCCTCGCTCTCGCCCTTGCCTCCCTTCTTGCCACCGCCGGACTTTCCGCCGTCCTTCTTGTCGGCGGGCTTCTTGTCGTTTTTACCCATGCTGGCTGCGTGAAGTTGGCGTGATGGTGGTGTTGAAAATTGGGTTGGCCGCATGTGGTGGTGGGGGTTAAGGCACACCCTCTGCTCTCACCCCACCAACCAACACCCTGGGAGAGGGGTGTGACGAAATGCGGGGGAGATGACCCGAGCCGCCGCCATGTCGGAGAGCAACACCACGAGTCTCACGCTATCATCGGACGCGCTCCATTTCTCAAACATGGCCTTTCTAAAGCTAACAAACACCTCCTCACTATCTAGCAGCGATCCATATCGTCCATCAAAAAACACGTCGTGACTCAAGAATCTCAGTCGTCATGGCGTTGACGCCCGCTTCACTGGACAGTCTTCCGACTGAGATTCTGTCAGAGGTCATCTCATACATTGCCGATCTCAGGACACTCTATCATCTCATCACGGCTTCTCCGTCTGTATCCCGCATCTTTGATAGCCCGACCATGGGCCCTGAGGCTTTCGAGCACGTCCTGGCAAACTCGACAGCGCCCCAAGTGTTTGGCTTAATCCGACTCGTCGCCATTGTCCGAACATCGACAGCAAATGACCCACCGGCAACATCCCTTGATGCCTTCGTCAAGCGGGCCAACCATCACATGCAACACAGCGGCCGGGGACAGTTCTACAGCAGCATCCCACCTCTGACCCGTACTTACCAGCGCCAAAAACCAGGAGCCGTCAGAAGCCTCCTTCAGATCGCTCGCCGAATTGCTTATCTGACCCCAGCTTGTCTCTCCTATTACCGTGAACAATGGCTCTCGGCAACTCCCTCGCACGCAGAAGGCGACATGCGCGGGTGGGTGTACAAGACATGGAAGAATCGCTACGCGGGCCGCCCGTACAGTCCCGATGACATTGGCCCTCCCGTCTGGATCGAAGAGCACAGAGTGACGCGTGGGTTTTGGAGGCTGCAGCTGCTGTACGAGCTCCAACGGGCAACCTCAGAGAACCGCCTAGGCTGGAAGATGGACGAGCAACGCGGGCCGGTCTCTGCGGAGGGCCTGTACGGCGCGTTGCGTTATGAGAAGGAGGAGTTCTTCACGGTGTCGGACTTCGTCGACCGCATCCAAGGGGAAAGCAGCTCGTGGAGTCTGCCATGTCCGACCACAACGGCTCCAGTCACGGAATGGCCGGAACCCGCGCCCCCTCTTGCAGTCGACGAGCCGGCAGGCCATACCCGTGGCTATCTAATGAGTCAAAACCCCGTCGGATGGGTTTACGCAAACATACGCCTCCGACACTTCCCGCCCTCGCCCATCCGCGGTGTTCCTCTGCAACCATTCCGCCGGCTGGGGCTGTTCATATGGGAGTACGACAAGTTGGTGAAGATGGAGCTAATGTCTCCCACAGGGTATCCGTTTAGCGCGAAAGGGGAGCCGTCCAAGATGTATACATGGCGTAGCCTGCTGAGCCAGGAGATCCTGACAGAGGTTGAAGAGAATCTGGACCTGGGGAGCACTCGCCGGCAGACGACACACACCGACGCCGCATTTGGACTGCCTCCTCTTTGAACAGCAATTGTACTCAATACAATGATTTGTTTAAAAACCAGCTTGCTCACGTTGTCTAGGGTGAGTGGATGTTCCAAGTTCGGTCCAAGTGCAGACTGTCGATTCGACCAGAGCGTGGGTCACTCTGTGTAACCGATTGCCTATCAGCTGGGTAACCAATTCAAGGTGTAGGTACCTCAGGCTAACCACCTCAAACACCTTGGGGATGTTCTCGCCGGGTTCTCCAGCAGTAAGGTAGCACCTCAGGCAACCGCGAGCACTGGCCAATTTCTGTCGCCACCACCCTGCTGACTCACATGCCCAACTGCCCTTATGTATCGGTTTGTGTTGTCTTTCTTTCGCCTTCGGGCATTTGGTCAATTTGAAACGATACAGAGAAGATTAGCATGGCCCCTGCACTAAGGATGACACGCTCAATCAAAGAGAAGCTACCAATTTTTTTGTGTTTCTTTTGCATCGTCTTCTCCTGATTCTTGCGATCACGACGATGTAATTTTTATTCCTCGCATCACACTCTTTGAGGGAGCAAAATTGAAATGAAAACTGCGCGATGGGGGCCTCGAACAGCAAACCTCGGCGTTTTGGGAAATCGGCCCACACGCTTCTCAGGATGCATCTTTGGCCACGAGTTGCACATTTAGACTTGTATAACTGTATGTTTCAATTCTATTTTCATAGTAACTGCTGAATGATTGCGCATTGAATTCGTCTAATTCAATTTTGAAAATTGTTGTTCCTGTCCTCTACGGGACATATTGCAACCCACTGACCGCCGCCTCTTAATCGTCACCACCTACTTCATCTTCCGGTCCTGTTCTGCCGTACTTTTATTACTACAGCCACTGCATCTGTAAGGCTTGTAAACGATGATTGTTTTTGTCGATTACAGCTTGAAGACTGCCCGTAGCTTTTCCGTCGTACAATCGCCGCTATCGAAGCAGATATCTTGCCGGGCTAGACATATCAAGCAAGAGGGCACAGTAGATCAAAAGCTCGGGCATGGTTCATCATTCGTCATCATTAATCATAAGGTAGTAGTGGTACAGATGTCGTAGGTAATACAGGGTATTCGTGAGAAATCAATCAAGACCCAGCGCTGCCTTCTTCCTCCATTTTGAGTTTCTTTCCGGTTCAAACAGGCATGATGAGTCCCAGACCGCATCCCTCCTGGCAAAGAGAGGCCTTGAACTCGCTCGCGCGCCTCCAGTGCTCGCGATCGATGCGCTCCTCCTCCTTGCGCATCTTGAAGTCGAGCAGGCCGTCGTCCCCCTTGCGCTGGCGGACCATCTCGGCCTCGACCTTCTTAAACGCCTGCCAGTCGTCGATCTGCGACGGGCGGGGGATCTGCTGCACCTGCTCGAGGTCCTTCTGGCCGTTAACACGCTCGAGAAGGAGCTCGAGGCGGTACTTGTCGGTGGTGGCGTCCAGCTTGTTGCCGTACTGGCGGATGGTGTATCTAATGTCTGATTAGTCGAAGATCAGAAGAGTGTGAGCAAGTAATAATACTCACAGGCCATCGTATCGCACACCAGCCTGGGGAGCGAGGGTGCTCTTGAGGCGGTAGCCCCTGAGGATGCGGATCTGGGTACCGACTTGGGTGAGGAGGGAGACGTGCATGTCGGACAGACGACCCTCGCGGACGTATCGGTAGAGGTTTCCGCGGATGTGCTCCTCCCGGCCGGTGAGGAGAGGAAGGGCAGTGATGCCGTACTTGCTCTTGGTAGGCTTCTCGACTGCGGTGCCAAGGATGCCGTCGCGGTGGGCGCAGGCCAGGTTCAGCCACCAGCTGCGATTTGTAAGTATGAGTGCATGTGATGAAGATGGGCAATTACTAACTGGCCAGGCTCGAACTGCTGGTTTACCTCGAGCTCGGAGATGGGGTCTCGGCAACTAGCCTGGACGGTCCAGGACTCGAGGGGATCCTTGCCGGTAGCGGTAAAGCTAATGTCGCGCATCTCGCCGCCGACGGAGAGGCTGCGCTGGCGGACTTGGTCGATGGCGAAGTACTGGTCGCGGAAGCGCGCGCGCCACATCTTTTGCAAGCTCTCGGCGACGGCCATGTCGGCACGGAAGCGGAGAGGTAGCGGTGAAGGACGGTTGGCGGGGTCGAGGATGTCGGCGAGGAGCCTGTCGAGGCGGGCGTACTGGAGAGTCTCGAAATCGAGGATCGGGGTGTGGCGCAGCTCTTCCTTGAGAGCCCTCTCGAGGAGGCTCTGGATCCTGTCTGCATTGAGGCCCAGGCTTCTGTTTTGGCGGAGAGAGGTTCGGACGGTGTCGCACAGTTCGAGGAGCTCCTGCTTGGTGGGGAGAGGCTCAACCGAAGGAGACGGGAGCGCGGCTGCTGGCATATTAGAACGTGGTGGGTGCTATCGGATGCCGGGGTTGCTGACCTGATCCAGGGTACCTCATGAAGTATGTCTCTGATGATCCGTCCAGCTGGAAGGGCGAACGGCATGGCCTCATCATGACTTGAGTAGGCGACATGGCGATGCTGATGATATGAAGCTGATCTTTTAGGGAATCGGTGTCGTACTGTGGATACTCGTGGATGTTGGAGTTTGCATCTACACGTTGATGGTGTCTAGTGTTCTTGGGCTCGCTGGCAGTCTTGGCTGTTGAGGCTGAGGATGAAGGCCAAATGGAATTCCAAGATTGACGAGGATTGAAACGAAGCTTATATGAAAAGTAGGACATGCGAATATGGTATGAAGGGAAGAAAACATGGCGTTTGAACTAGCCAAGTGTGCGCCCCTGGACCAACGCAGGGGGTTTGGAGCGATGCGGATTCGTTCGGAAGGCGGTTTGGCTTGAGACCCCCGAAGACACTTGCCATGAGACAAACATGCGAAAGGGGAAAGCAGAATCCGTTGGACCCAGAGCTTTGGGTGGCAGGTCTCAGATCGGGGACCAGCAACGATGAGTTCATCGTATCATTTCAGCTGGTGGCGCACGCTACCGAGGGTTTGGTTCGGGTTGACAACGAAGTTTTCGGGGAGTCAGTGGCGCTGAGGAATCTTCATCTCATCGAAAACTGCCAAGCCGGTGGAGGTGGGGGCCCGCAAGCCATCGAGGATCCGGTGTGCTGGGTGGCTTCTGAGAGCAATTGGGAAGGCGCCCCGATGGTTCAGGGTGTTCCAGACTGGTGGCAGTGGAAAGCCGCACTTGAGGTAGCCGCTAGTATCTCGGGGGACGTCTCAGGATTTCTCAGAGGAACGTGGGAGTGCTGAAACATTCTGTCGGAGAGCTCCAAGACTCCGACTTGCTCGTTGCATACGTCTTGGGCGTCATCTGCCTGTGAGGTTATTCCCAGTCCGGCGATGCTGCAAGACATTGTGTTACAGATCAAACATCTAGTCAAACTCAGCGACTGGTGTTGGCCAAGACGCTGCCACTGCATGGACGGGCTAGCACGGGAAAGGCCAAGACCCCCGCCCGGCCATTCGGTCCCTCGCCGTGCCATGTGGTTTTGCTCCGGAAAAGTTGTAGTTCGCTTCCGGGTCGGCAGTGGTTAACCTTTTCCGGCCTCCACACGGAGTGTCTGTGGTCCCCGAACACCTAGTGCCATTTAAGAGTCTTTGACAACTTCCGCCCAAGGTTCAGATGGTACCGAAACCGAGATCAAGCCGCTTTTTGTCGCTGCTCGTGTCTACCAACGTTGCAGTCGAGACTTTTCACCATACTTGACTGAACTCATCAGTGGCGGCCACCAACCCGGTCGACTTGCATCAGAGTCAAACTCTCAACCCAATCTTGCCCAATCTACCCGACGCCTCGGGACAAAGGTGTGGCCCTCACCATGTCCACCCAACTCCTCGACTTAACGGCTGTCATCACTCCCAAGCCGGGTAAGGCGGAACAAGTGAGTGCGACCCGGTCGGCATGCTGCCTTGTGTGCACCCATTACCTCACCCCCCAGCGGGCGTCTCAGCGGCCACCTGTCTCACCCCGAGACGAGTAGCGCAGTCCTGACGTCCTGAAACCAGGTTTTCCAGCTCTTCAGCAACTGCGTCAACTATTCCAAAGCCAGCGAGCCAGGCACTCTGCGCTACGAGATCCACAGGGGGCTCAAGGACAAGAACGGCGGTCTCGAGGAGTTCGTCGTGAGGGAGACGTAAGTGGAAGAACTCCTGACGTCGGCGGAAGCGGGAGATCAACTGACGATCCCAACCAGATACGCTGACGAGGATGCATTGAACAAACACATGGGTGGTCCCGACGTCGTCGCTCTCGTGAAAGCCATGGAGACTGGCGAGCTAGTCGAGAGCGTCAAGGTCATCCACACAAACCCTGGTGCTGGATACGAGCGCTCCAAAATTTGACACGAGGGCTGTGAGAACCGTGGCCAGTGAACTGGGGGGCACGATGGCTCTCGCGTGTCTTTCTGAGCTTTCCACTTGAGCAGGCCTCGGACGAAAAGGGGTTGGCGAGATGCCTGAGAAGCCTCCCTCGAGGGCGAATGGCAACAGGCCGCATCAGGTCAAGTAGGGAGGTTGAACTCGTGGGCGAAAACAAAGACTGTGCACATTCAGCAACGCCAGGGAGTCAGCCATAGGCATGGAACTGGTTGGAGAATGAATAGCATGACTTTGAGGGAGGGTGATTTGCCTGCTGCGGAGCAGAAATGGGAGTGATTTGTGTAAGACTGCATCTGGGTCATCGTCGGGCGAACGGAAGTCCAGTAACCTGTGATCTGTATTTGAGTATGTAATTGCCATGCTCAAATTTACGGAGTAGAGCTGTGGACATGAGTAGACTTGCGTGGAAACCTACACATTCCGAGACATCATGGACCCAAGTGTTGATGGGGATTCAAACCATTCATCGCATCCTTGCAGAACGGTTGAAAATGCCATGTGGTTTCTAGATCAGATCAGAACCGCCGCCAAGCAACGGCGAAGGTGTACGGACGTAAGATCGAGCAGAGTGTGCAGATCCATGTGTCTGGCGCTGTGGTTTGCTGGAGTACGGGAGTACTTCAAGCCAGGCGCTGCCGGAACGCCATCCACAGAGCCCGACGATGCCGTCTAACTCAAAGGAACAGTAGCTTCTGAGAGAAGGCGTCTGAAGGCGATTCTTCGATAATATGTGCAATTGAAGCCTAAGACATTTTCACATGAATTTGAAGAACCTCTGCGTTGAGGTTGTGAATACTGAGCCGCAGAATGAGGCCCGTAATCACGTTGCTTAGAGGTAAGAAACTCAGCATGGCCGAATCGACTGAGTCGAAGATTCGTTTGACTCAGGATCTGCAGAGAATTAGAATATTGCAATAGGATTTTAAGGACGAAACTTGGCAAAAGGAAACGCAAGAATGCGCAACAGCGAATTCATCATGGATTTCTGTCGATGGTGCAAGAGATGGTGGTGCAAGAAACAGGAATCACTGAAGGCGTTGGTGTTGGTGTACGGACGTAAATTCCAGACCCACCTTTCTAGAGCGCCCGTGCCACCTGCCACCTTCTTACGCGACCACCGGATTATCTTGGCAGTCTTCAACTCTTCCGTCGTTCAACATCTTTCACATCGCAACACCTACCTGCCAACGAATATCCGGAAATGGTAGACAGCAACAAGGACCTCCTCGCTAAGGCGCAGGAATATTCGACAAACAATGTCGATCTCTACGAGCTACTCCAAATCGAAGCGTCCGCGAAGGACGAGAAGGAAATCCAGCGCGCGTGGCGCAAACAGTCCCTCAAGTACCATCCCGACAAGACCAAGGACGCATTCGACCCTGAGAAGTGGGAGCTCATCGAGAATGCCCGCGACATCCTCCTAGATACCGCCGCCCGCGCTGCATACGACAATGCGCGCAAGGCGGCCCTCCTGCGCAAGGCTGAGCGCCAGCGCGTGGAGGGGGCCCGCAAGCGCGTCATCGACGAGCTCGAGGCCGCTGAGCAGGAGGCCAAGAGGCAGCGTCTCGACAAGGAAGAGCGCGAACGGGAGATGGAGCGCGAGAAGGCCCGGCTTCGTGCGGAGGGCCAGCGGCGGATGGCCGAGGAGGCCGAACGATTCAAGAAGGAGCAGCTGGAGCGCATGGAGAGGGAGAGAGAGCCGGACGAATACGATGAGAAGCTGGCAGAGCTGCAGAGGCAACTGGACGAGAAGAGGCGGCTGAAGGCTGAGAAGAAGGCTCGGAAGAAGGGCAAGGCAGACGGCGCCCCGACTCCCGATCCAGTGCCTGCGCCAGCACCGGCACCCGCTGCTCCTCGAGCACCGCCCAAATGGGAAGATCTCAAGGCGCGCATGTTGGAAGCGCAGAGGCGAAAGGAAGCCATGAAGGCAGCGGAGGCCACAAATGCACCACCCGGGACGGAGACGTCAACAAAAACGGCGGAGGGAGAGGCGGCGACGGCTTGATTATACAACTATACCCCTTTTTCTATTCTACAACAGGAATGGCACTGACTTCTCTACTGGGCAGGTGCCTCGTTCAACCCATTCCTCAGCCATTCAGGCACGAATGCCTTGATTTTCACCGCGTTGCTCTTGTCCTCTTCGCCCCACTGTAGCATGAACTCGTTGGCGGGGTCGAACGTCGACGCGGCCGTCTCGCCGGGGAGGACGACGTCCGTCATGATCTCTAGCCGGCAAAGTCCCAAGCCCACGTTTCCGATGCCCTTGAGCCACTTGCCCGCGCTTCTGCCCTTCTTGCCAGAGCGGCCGATACTCGTCTCTCTCGGGATCGTCTCTGCCGGCAGACCCTCGGGACCGTGATTCGCATCCTCGTCCGGTCTATACTGCAGCGTCTGGGGCGCAGCTCTATCCACATCGTAGATCATGCATGGGAGTATCCTCTTGCGCACCACTCCGCGGTGCTTCGTCCGGATCGTGAGCTCTTGTCCGACGTAACAACCCTTGTGATAATCGATGCCGTTCATGTAATCCATATTCGTCTCCTGAGGCAGCGCGTGCTCCCTGATGATCTCATCCTGCCCCTCGGCAACCCCCTGCAAGTATCGCCTGATGGTGTAGCTATCCTCCGTGGTAGCCTCAAGATCCAGCTGCGGCGGCGCATCCCTGCCCCGCACCAACCGGTACCCCAAACCGGGCGTCCTCGGGTCTCGCGTCAGCGTGCTCGAGGTCGCCGCATCGGACGAGACGGGCTTTCCGCTGTCGTCCCACGCATGCCACACCGTCGCCTCGTCCACCGCCAGCAGCCGCACGTTGAACTTGGCGCGCAGCTTGTATCGCTTGATGTGCTTCGCCAGCCTCTCGGCCTCATTCGCGTCGGCCTCGATCAGGAAGCGCGTGCCGGCCTGCTGCTCTCCGGCCGCGGCGCCGCCGCCCAGACCGGCGGTGTCCGGGTAGATGAAGACGTCGTGCAGCACGCGGCCGGTGGCGTTGAGGAACGCGGCGTAGAAGCCCGTCTCCCGCGCGCGGGCCTCCTTGGAGGCGATGTTGGCGGTGATGACGCCCTGCAGGAACTTGGCGGCGTCCGGGCCGGCGACGGAGATGAGGCGGCGCGAGGGGAGGGCCGTGAA